GGGGCTGTAGTGGTTGTAGGGGCTGTGGTGGTTGTATGGGCTGTGGTGGTTGTAGGGGCTGTAGTGGTTGTAGGGGCTGTGATGGTTGCTGGGGCTAGGGTGGTTTTAGGGGCTGTGGTGGTTGTATGAGCTGTGGAGGTTGTAGGGGCCGTAGTGGTTGTACGGGCTGTGGTGGTTGTATGAGCTGTGGAGGTTGTAGGGGCCGTAGTGGTTGTACGGGCTGTGGTGGTTGTATGAGCTGTGGAGGTTGTAGGGGCCGTAGTGGTTGTACGGGCTGTGGTGGTTGTATGAGCTGTGGAGGTTGTAGGGGCCGTAGTGGTTGTACGGGCTGTGGTGGTTGTATGAGCTGTGGAGGTTGTAGGGGCCGTAGTGGTTGTACGGGCTGTGGTGGTTGTATGAGCTGTGGAGGTTGTAGGGGCCGTAGTGGTTGTACGGGCTGTGGTGGTTGTATGAGCTGTGGAGGTTGTAGGGGCCGTAGTGGTTGTACGGGCTGTGGTGGTTGTATGAGCTGTGGAGGTTGTAGGGGCCGTAGTGGTTGTACGGGCTGTGGTGGTTGTATGAGCTGTGGAGGTTGTAGGGGCCGTAGTGGTTGTACGGGCTGTGGTGGTTGTATGAGCTGTGGAGGTTGTAGGGGCCGTAGTGGTTGTACGGGCTGTGGTGGTTGTATGAGCTGTGGAGGTTGTAGGGGCCGTAGTGGTTGTACGGGCTGTGGTGGTTGTATGAGCTGTGGAGGTTGTAGGGGCCGTAGTGGTTGTACGGGCTGTGGTGGTTGTATGAGCTGTGGAGGTTGTAGGGGCCGTAGTGGTTGTACGGGCTGTGGTGGTTGTATGAGCTGTGGAGGTTGTAGGGGCCGTAGTGGTTGTACGGGCTGTGGTGGTTGTATGAGCTGTGGAGGTTGTAGGGGCCGTAGTGGTTGTACGGGCTGTGGTGGTTGTATGAGCTGTGGAGGTTGTAGGGGCCGTAGTGGTTGTACGGGCTGTGGTGGTTGTATGAGCTGTGGAGGTTGTAGGGGCCGTAGTGGTTGTACGGGCTGTGGTGGTTGTATGAGCTGTGGAGGTTGTAGGGGCCGTAGTGGTTGTACGGGCTGTGGTGGTTGTATGAGCTGTGGAGGTTGTAGGGGCCGTAGTGGTTGTACGGGCTGTGGTGGTTGTATGAGCTGTGGAGGTTGTAGGGGCCGTAGTGGTTGTACGGGCTGTGGTGGTTGTATGAGCTGTGGAGGTTGTAGGGGCCGTAGTGGTTGTACGGGCTGTGGTGGTTGTATGAGCTGTGGAGGTTGTAGGGGCCGTAGTGGTTGTACGGGCTGTGGTGGTTGTATGAGCTGTGGAGGTTGTAGGGGCCGTAGTGGTTGTACGGGCTGTGGTGGTTGTATGAGCTGTGGAGGTTGTAGGGGCCGTAGTGGTTGTACGGGCTGTGGTGGTTGTATGAGCTGTGGAGGTTGTAGGGGCCGTAGTGGTTGTACGGGCTGTGGTGGTTGTATGAGCTGTGGAGGTTGTAGGGGCCGTAGTGGTTGTACGGGCTGTGGTGGTTGTATGAGCTGTGGAGGTTGTAGGGGCCGTAGTGGTTGTACGGGCTGTGGTGGTTGTATGAGCTGTGGAGGTTGTAGGGGCCGTAGTGGTTGTACGGGCTGTGGTGGTTGTATGAGCTGTGGAGGTTGTAGGGGCCGTAGTGGTTGTACGGGCTGTGGTGGTTGTATGAGCTGTGGAGGTTGTAGGGGCCGTAGTGGTTGTACGGGCTGTGGTGGTTGTATGAGCTGTGGAGGTTGTAGGGGCCGTAGTGGTTGTACGGGCTGTGGTGGTTGTATGAGCTGTGGAGGTTGTAGGGGCCGTAGTGGTTGTACGGGCTGTGGTGGTTGTATGAGCTGTGGAGGTTGTAGGGGCCGTAGTGGTTGTACGGGCTGTGGTGGTTGTATGAGCTGTGGAGGTTGTAGGGGCCGTAGTGGTTGTACGGGCTGTGGTGGTTGTATGAGCTGTGGAGGTTGTAGGGGCCGTAGTGGTTGTACGGGCTGTGGTGGTTGTATGAGCTGTGGAGGTTGTAGGGGCCGTAGTGGTTGTACGGGCTGTGGTGGTTGTATGAGCTGTGGAGGTTGTAGGGGCCGTAGTGGTTGTACGGGCTGTGGTGGTTGTATGAGCTGTGGAGGTTGTAGGGGCCGTAGTGGTTGTACGGGCTGTGGTGGTTGTATGAGCTGTGGAGGTTGTAGGGGCCGTAGTGGTTGTACGGGCTGTGGTGGTTGTATGAGCTGTGGAGGTTGTAGGGGCCGTAGTGGTTGTACGGGCTGTGGTGGTTGTATGAGCTGTGGAGGTTGTAGGGGCCGTAGTGGTTGTACGGGCTGTGGTGGTTGTATGAGCTGTGGAGGTTGTAGGGGCCGTAGTGGTTGTACGGGCTGTGGTGGTTGTATGAGCTGTGGAGGTTGTAGGGGCCGTAGTGGTTGTACGGGCTGTGGTGGTTGTATGAGCTGTGGAGGTTGTAGGGGCCGTAGTGGTTGTACGGGCTGTGGTGGTTGTATGAGCTGTGGAGGTTGTAGGGGCCGTAGTGGTTGTACGGGCTGTGGTGGTTGTATGAGCTGTGGAGGTTGTAGGGGCCGTAGTGGTTGTACGGGCTGTGGTGGTTGTATGAGCTGTGGAGGTTGTAGGGGCCGTAGTGGTTGTACGGGCTGTGGTGGTTGTATGAGCTGTGGAGGTTGTAGGGGCCGTAGTGGTTGTACGGGCTGTGGTGGTTGTATGAGCTGTGGAGGTTGTAGGGGCCGTAGTGGTTGTACGGGCTGTGGTGGTTGTATGAGCTGTGGAGGTTGTAGGGGCCGTAGTGGTTGTACGGGCTGTGGTGGTTGTATGAGCTGTGGAGGTTGTAGGGGCCGTAGTGGTTGTACGGGCTGTGGTGGTTGTATGAGCTGTGGAGGTTGTAGGGGCCGTAGTGGTTGTACGGGCTGTGGTGGTTGTATGAGCTGTGGAGGTTGTAGGGGCCGTAGTGGTTGTACGGGCTGTGGTGGTTGTATGAGCTGTGGAGGTTGTAGGGGCCGTAGTGGTTGTACGGGCTGTGGTGGTTGTATGAGCTGTGGAGGTTGTAGGGGCCGTAGTGGTTGTACGGGCTGTGGTGGTTGTATGAGCTGTGGAGGTTGTAGGGGCCGTAGTGGTTGTACGGGCTGTGGTGGTTGTATGAGCTGTGGAGGTTGTAGGGGCCGTAGTGGTTGTACGGGCTGTGGTGGTTGTATGAGCTGTGGAGGTTGTAGGGGCCGTAGTGGTTGTACGGGCTGTGGTGGTTGTATGAGCTGTGGAGGTTGTAGGGGCCGTAGTGGTTGTACGGGCTGTGGTGGTTGTATGAGCTGTGGAGGTTGTAGGGGCCGTAGTGGTTGTACGGGCTGTGGTGGTTGTATGAGCTGTGGAGGTTGTAGGGGCCGTAGTGGTTGTACGGGCTGTGGTGGTTGTATGAGCTGTGGAGGTTGTAGGGGCCGTAGTGGTTGTACGGGCTGTGGTGGTTGTATGAGCTGTGGAGGTTGTAGGGGCCGTAGTGGTTGTACGGGCTGTGGTGGTTGTATGAGCTGTGGAGGTTGTAGGGGCCGTAGTGGTTGTACGGGCTGTGGTGGTTGTATGAGCTGTGGAGGTTGTAGGGGCCGTAGTGGTTGTACGGGCTGTGGTGGTTGTATGAGCTGTGGAGGTTGTAGGGGCCGTAGTGGTTGTACGGGCTGTGGTGGTTGTATGAGCTGTGGAGGTTGTAGGGGCCGTAGTGGTTGTACGGGCTGTGGTGGTTGTATGAGCTGTGGAGGTTGTAGGGGCCGTAGTGGTTGTACGGGCTGTGGTGGTTGTATGAGCTGTGGAGGTTGTAGGGGCCGTAGTGGTTGTACGGGCTGTGGTGGTTGTATGAGCTGTGGAGGTTGTAGGGGCCGTAGTGGTTGTACGGGCTGTGGTGGTTGTATGAGCTGTGGAGGTTGTAGGGGCCGTAGTGGTTGTACGGGCTGTGGTGGTTGTATGAGCTGTGGAGGTTGTAGGGGCCGTAGTGGTTGTACGGGCTGTGGTGGTTGTATGAGCTGTGGAGGTTGTAGGGGCCGTAGTGGTTGTACGGGCTGTGGTGGTTGTATGAGCTGTGGAGGTTGTAGGGGCCGTAGTGGTTGTACGGGCTGTGGTGGTTGTATGAGCTGTGGAGGTTGTAGGGGCCGTAGTGGTTGTACGGGCTGTGGTGGTTGTATGAGCTGTGGAGGTTGTAGGGGCCGTAGTGGTTGTACGGGCTGTGGTGGTTGTATGAGCTGTGGAGGTTGTAGGGGCCGTAGTGGTTGTACGGGCTGTGGTGGTTGTATGAGCTGTGGAGGTTGTAGGGGCCGTAGTGGTTGTACGGGCTGTGGTGGTTGTATGAGCTGTGGAGGTTGTAGGGGCCGTAGTGGTTGTACGGGCTGTGGTGGTTGTATGAGCTGTGGAGGTTGTAGGGGCCGTAGTGGTTGTACGGGCTGTGGTGGTTGTATGAGCTGTGGAGGTTGTAGGGGCCGTAGTGGTTGTACGGGCTGTGGTGGTTGTATGAGCTGTGGAGGTTGTAGGGGCCGTAGTGGTTGTACGGGCTGTGGTGGTTGTATGAGCTGTGGAGGTTGTAGGGGCCGTAGTGGTTGTACGGGCTGTGGTGGTTGTATGAGCTGTGGAGGTTGTAGGGGCCGTAGTGGTTGTACGGGCTGTGGTGGTTGTATGAGCTGTGGAGGTTGTAGGGGCCGTAGTGGTTGTACGGGCTGTGGTGGTTGTATGGGCTGTGATGGTTGTAGGGGCTGTGGGGGTTGCCAGGGCTCTGGTGGTTGCAAGGGCTGTAGTAGTTGTAGGGGCTGTGGTGGATGCAGGGGCTGTGGTGGTTGCAGGGGCTGTGGTTGTTTTAGGGGCTGTAGTGGTTGTAGGGGCTGTGGTGGTTGTAGGGGCTGTGGTGGTTGCAGGGGCTGTATTGATTGTAGAGGCCGTGGTGGTTGCAGGGGCTGTGGTGGTTCCCGGGGCCTTGGTGGTTGTAGGGGCCGTGGTGGTTGCAGGGGCCGTGGTGGTTGCAGGGGCTGTGGTGG